GAGCACAGTGGCGCCATCTTGGCTCATTACAAGCTCCGCCTCCCGGGTTCACGCTATTCTGCTGCCTCAGCCTCCCAAGGAGCTGGGACTACAGGAGCCCGCCACCACGCCTGGCTAATTTTTTGTATTTTTTTTTAGTAGAGACCGGGTTTCACCGTGTTAGCCAGGATGGTCTTGATCTCCTGACCTCGTGATCCGCCCGCCTCGGCCTCCCATAGTGCTGGGATTACAGGCGTGAGTCACCGTGCCTGGCCCAGGCCTGGAAGCCATTTTTAGTAAGTTCCACCAGGATTCAGACACAGCCGAGTTTGGTCATTGTTGGTGCTGGCTTCCTTCTACCTGCCAATGTGTTACCCACAGTGTCTGAGCTGGGGATGGCATGGGGTTCAAGGGGAGCTCCAACGGTGAGCTGAATACAGAAGGTGGCTGAGGGGGGTTGAGGAGTCAGAGGTCAGGGGTCAGGTACAGCTGACCAGCAGTCACCTTGAGCAGGGAAGTGCGGGGCACACAGAGCAGGTTCACAGCCATGGAGAGTTTCCGGAAGAACTCAGTGGCAATGTCGCCCAGCCCAGCTCCCTGTAGCCAGTCCAAGACAAGGTCCAGGTTGGTTCGGATTTGAACAGCTCGGGACCACTGATAGAAAGGCCGGCCTTGACCTGTGGGCATTAAAGGTATGAGGAAGTTGGTTAGCTGGACTCTGTGCTCCTGCCTCCCAGACTGTTCCTATCCTTCAGCCTGGGATCTGGAGCTTGTTCTCCAGGGTACCCAAAGGTGAGGCTTGAGCCCGTGGTGTGTCTAATTTGACCTGAGTCTCAGTGGTTCCCATCTTTGCCTCCCTGACAGCTCCCAGCCAACCTTCACCTCGTTCCATCAGCGAGTTGAGAAGGGATGCATTGGAGAAGAAGAACAAGTAGCCAAAAGTCTGAGACACGAGGTCAGGGTGCAGCTCGCACTGGCTGGTCAGCTCCAAGGCGGCCTGGAACACGCCCAGGGTAGGTCTCAACCCTGGAGGCATGGCCTCCAGCTCCGCGCCAGGCCCCGGCAGCTCTGCCCCAGCTGTGAAAGGGTTACTATCCAGGAGAGCAGGCAGAGTTGAATACAGAGTCTGAGGAAATAGAGAAGGGGAAACAAGTGATTGGACTACAACTCCCAGGAAGCTTCAGGGTAATAGAGCATGAAGATAATGGGGAGCTCCACCAAGGTCTCCTGGGAGTTGTAGTCCATTCTACAGTCAACACCCAAAGGGTCTCCATGAGCAAATCCCTACTTGGTGGAAGGGTATATAAGTTTCTTGAGTATTTTAAGATCACCTCTTGTGCATTGTGGGACTTGTAGTTCTCAGCAGAGACAGCTCAAGGAGGACAAAGGATACTGGACAAAGAGTTCCCTTTCAGTCAAAGAATTATTCATCCCAAATTCCCCAAGGAAAGAAAAAGAATGGAGAATCAGGAAGTGGGAGTGGGATGGCAGTTTGCCAGTGGAAAGTGAGATCAGGCCAAGGACAGGAAATGAGGTCAGAAACAGAAGAAATGAAAGCACACTTGGCAGGAATGTACAGGAAGTGAAGGAGGAAAGGGCTTCACAATCTAGGCTGCTAGAGGAACTTAGAGACTGATAGTCATCTGTCCCAAAAGATCCTCTCTCATTCTTGCAGATAGGGCATCAGGCACACCATAAGCCGGAAACCCTAAGAATGCCACGAAGCGGTATTAGGTCAAGGGTAGTGGTGGGGAGACTGGGGCAGAAAGCAGGCCCTTCCAGGAAGGGCACTCAGAGACAAAGATCTGTGGTTCTGAAAGGGAAGTGAATTCAGAACTGTAGGAAGTGAGGTCAGCAAGCGAAGGAAGTGGGGCCTGATGAAAGAGGATCTTCAGTTTAAATCAGTTCCTGGCACTATTTGATCTCTAGCTATCTATCAATCATTTATCTATCTATTATATATAAAACTTAACAGTGACTGAAGAGTAGACTTAGAAAATGGGAGATTCAGAAGGTGGTAATGGTGACTGTTACCAAGTAGTGAGGTCAGCCTGTCAAAAGTGGTGATTACTACTTTTTTTTTTTTTTTTTTTTTTTTTTTTGAGATGGAGTCTCACTCTGTCGCCTAGGCTGGAGTGCAGTGGTGCAATCTCAGCTCGCTGCAACCTCTGCCTCCTGGGTTCAAGCGATTCTTCTGCCTCAGTCTCCTGAGTAGCTGGGATTACAGGCATCACCGAGCTAATTTTTGTATTTTTAGTAGAAACGGGGTTTCACCATGTTGGTCAGTCTGGTCTCAAACTCCTGACCTCGTGATCTACCCACCTTGGCCTCCCAAAGTGCTGGGATTACACGCGTGAGCCACTGCGCCTGGCTTTATTTTATTTTTTTGAGACGGAGTCTTGCTCCATCTGCCAGGCTGGAGTGCAGTGGCATGAAGTAATCTTGGCTCACTGCAACATCCGCCTCTCAGGTTCAAGTGATTGTTGTGCCTCAGCCTCTCCAATAGCTGGAATTACAGGCGCAGGCCACCACGCGTGGCTAATTTTGTATTTTTAGTAGAGATGGAGTTTCACCATGTTGTCCAGGCTGGTCTCAAACTCCTGACCTCAAGTGATCCACACACCTCGACCTCCCAAAGTGCCGGGATTACAGATGTGAACCACCACATTTGCCCAGGTGATGATTACAAAGGAAAAGAAGCCAGAAAGGCAGGAAGTGATGTAAGATCAAACAAGTGGTGTCAGAACAGCAAAGTCCTTGGGTGAGATGGGATGTCATGTCAGAGAAGCAGAAAATCTTGGTCAAATAGTGACATCAGAGCCACACAGTGTAGTTCAAACAAGAAGTGATGTTACCACAAACAGGAAGTGATGTTAAGTGAAACAGGAAGTGACGCTATGTCAAACAGGAAGTAAGAGGCAAGGGCCAACCTTGGTGAGGTAGTAGACAGACTGCTGGAAGGTACACATGATGACCTCATCCAGGAGGGCCATGGCCTCATCACATAATTCCAAGTCATTGCAGAGCTGTGGGTCTGAGGACAGGCTTGGGGTTAAGAGGGAGAACCAGAAGTTGGCAGCCAGGAGCCCAGGTTCCCAGGTGCAGGGCATGATGGGAAACTTGGACAAGCCTGAACCTGGGTCAGAGCTCACCCTCTTGGTCAGCCTCCTTCTCCATTTCCAGCACCTTCTCCTGCACAAAGCTAAGCAGCTCCGTGGTATTGGCCATCCACAGCATGAGTGGCCGCAGCTCCACAGACACAGCTTCAGGAGTCAGGGGCACCTCGGGGACCCCCTCAGGGTGGCTTGAAAAAGAGGAAGGAATTTGTGATCCCTGCCCAACCCTCATCATAGTTTACAAACCCCAAGATATCTAAGTCTAAGTGGGAGACCAAGACCAACCCCCATGGCACAGCTGGAAAAGTTGAGTGCCAGGGAGAAGCAGAAACTTGGACTGAGACATGCATGGGGTGAACACAGAACTGGACGCAAAACCCAACCCCTGCATCCCCCCAGGCCGCTCTGCTCAGAATTTCTCTTACTTTTCTGGCTGACGGTCTCCAATTTCCTTAATCTTTTCCTGTGGAACAGTAAGATCAGAATCAAGGTGAGGGGGATCCACTGAGGGGCTTATGAGTTAATACCCTGTTTTTTCTAGAAGCACAATTCTCATAGAGACTGATCCTAGTTTTCTTAGAGATGGAGTCTCACTGTGTTGCCCCAGGTGGTCTCCAGCTCCTGAGCTCAAATGATCCTCCTACCTTGGCCTTCCAAAGCAGTAGGATTACAGTGTGAGCCACTGCAACTGGCCGTTACTCTTCATACGGATTCTTTTTTTCTTTTTTTGAGATGGAGTTTCCCTGTTGTTTCCCAGGCTGCGGTGCAATGGCTTAATTTCAGCTCACTGCAACCTCTGCCTCCCAGGTTCAAGCGATTCTCCTGCCTCAGCCTCCCAAGTTGCTGGGATTACAAGCATGTGCCACCACGCCCGGCTAATTTTTTGTATTTTTAATAGAGACAGGGTTAGGGTTTCACCATGTTAACCAGGATGGTCTTGATCCCCCAACTTCAGGTGATCTGCCCACTTCGGCCTCCCAAAGTGCTGGGATTACAGGCATGAGCCACCACACCCAGCTCTTCAGACAAATGCTAATCCCACAAGCTTTAGAATGGTATCTCCTGACTTTTTAAAACACACACACTCTATAATTATGAGTGGTGTAGCTCCTTCAGGTCCTCTTCTCCAATTTTTACCCTCAAGAAACTCCTTAAACCTCTCTGGTTAGGCCCTAGCTGAATAGAATGGAACGTGTCCCCCACTCTGAATGGTTTCTTTCTGGAACTTCCATCTGTAGGTCCAGTGGCTTTGTGCTTCCTCGCCTCCAAGAATGAATTTGCTCACTACTATCCAAACTCCGAGCCCAATGGGCTGCAGTGAATTCTCACATTGACCTCTCCCAACTTCTCATCCAGTGGGATCTCTCCCCCACCATCTCCCATAATGGCTTCTTCCTAAGGTGAGTTCATGCTTAGGTGAGTTCTCCTAAGGCCAGTTTGGGCTTCCCTTTAAGTGCAGTGGATCTACAACTCCCAGCGTTCTATGGGGGGCCCCTTACTATTTAATAACCCCAAAATGCTGGGTGTGGTGGCTCACACCTGTAATCCCAGCGCTTTGGGAGGCCAAGGCGGGTGAACCACGAGGTCAGGAGTTCCAGACAAGCCTGGCCAACATGGTGAAACCCCGGCTCTTCTAAAAATACAAAAAATTAGCCGGGCGTGCTGGCAGGCGCCTGTAATCCCAGCTACTCGGGAGGCTGAGGCAGGAGAATCATTTGAACCCAGGAGGGGGAGGTTGCAGTGAGCCAAGACCGCCACTGCACTCCAACCTGGGCAACAGAGCGAGACTCCGTCTCAAAAACAAAAAAAAACCCAAATCCTTCCTGAGGCATCATGGGAACAGTGGTTTCATCCAGCCCCGCTATGAAAAGGGTTGAAGGTGGGGAGGGGAGGCTGGAGAAGGGACTTGGGGCGCTGGGGGGGCTGGATGGGGATTGGGGGGCGCTCACCCAGACGGCCTCCTTGATGAGCCGGGCCAGGCGACCCAGCAGTCGCGGCAGGTGGCCCAGCTCCAGCTCACGGGCGGAATG